CAAATCTACAGTTCCATTGAGTGTTTAAGAAAAAAAGCAGTCTTTTTTTTAACTGCATGGGATTCCCCTCGTGTAGCACGTAGCATGCTTTTATTGGAGGCATTTATGAATGTTCAGCGTTCTCAGAGCCACATCTTCACCAAATCTAAACACACTATTTGATCAAGACGGAGGTCTGTCATTTATTTGTGATTTTGTAAATTAATGGATGATTATATATCATGTGAAAAATGTAAATTAGGAAATAATGTTTTTTTTACCTGAACCTGTTCCACTTGCAACCTAATGCAATAATTTTTGAGAAGATGTGAAGCAAACCATACTGGCCAAAACACACAAACCCTTTATTAATGGAGGCATATTTATCACTGGTGTTGGACTTCCACTATTGGCTTGAGCGTGTGTGTGTGTGTGTGTGCATGTGTCACACACACTGTCTGAACAGCAGCCTCTGACTCAGTGTTGAATGGGTCCTGCAGTCACATGGCTACTTGTCAGCAGGCTGCAGGAGGAAACATAATCTTGAGGAGGAAGGCTGCAGCTCTGAGTTTGTTCATGTTGGTCTGAGAGGCAGGACTGCACACGATCAGTCCGGAAGCTCCACACACTTTCCTTTTTTAATACCGTCTCTGCGTTCTCTCTCTGTTTGCTTTCACCCTGCACTCTGACCGGCCCCTTCACAGCAGAGCTCAGAATTGCACTAGAATGTCTGCAGCGGCTTCTTCGCAGTAAGCACACTAAGGTACAGTAGGATTATATATTTGTGTGTTTTGTCGCCATTTTTAATGTTTCCAACTTGTTTTATGTATACATTTTGAACTGCTCATGTTTTAAACAGGCTAGTTGCTAAACGGATAACTTTTCCAGGTAAAAAATTGAAACTTTTATTTTTGTGATTTTCTAAATTTTCCTCTGAAGTGAGGTGGGAGCTGACTCAGGCTTGAACCACGATGATTTCTGTCCAAGTGTACACAAATACTGATTAGCTCCACAGGTTAGAAATAACTCCAAACAAACTGCAGCTGCCCGTTTTAGCAGCAGAAAGCCGCTCTGCGTTTTTGCTTTTCCAATCCTAAATAAGAGCAGCGACGGCTGTCTCCGTTAACATGTTCATCTGAAAGATGATCACGTTTTCTAAACACCTTTTTCTTTTCTCAAACTGCCTGCTGTGACCCCATTTTTTAATGATAATTTAATCACACACACAGATTTTTGTTGTCTTCCGATTGTGATAATTGGCAGAGAATTTGTGTCAGAATTCAGAATATTGGAGCATTTTATCTGGTCTGATAAAACGTTAAGGACACAGATAATCTCTAATTTTATAGAAACTAAAAGAAAAGCCCGTTTTTCCTACTATGCCTTTTTAAACAGAAGCTCGACAGTTTTACGCTTTTCTGGTTAATGTCCTGCTTCTGCAGGACGAGCCTGTGTTCTTGGACATTTGGACATCAATCTGCCACTCCTAGTCCGTTATTGGCTCCCTGTGTTTCATTCAGCTGTTCTTTAATTATCCTTTTCTGTTTGGACATGAGCTCTCCTCCTTCTGCGGTCGAGCAGCAGACTGAAGCTTCGCCGGTCGGGTTAAAGACACATGCTTGACTCACGACCTCTGTTCTTCCATCCGACTGCCTGACTTCTCATCACTAATCACATAGTAAAGAATTTCACCCTCTTTCTTTGCTTTAAAAGGATATTTTGAAGTGTGGCTTTTGTTGGAGATGTCTTCCCGAGTGGACTCGGTTTGGAGAAATGACTTTTAGGGCCAAGTGCAGCCTTGACCTAAATGTATTGCTTTAATCTTCATTCAAGGTTAATCCTGCAGAAATATTTTGAAGCTACTGCTGGAAACACCACAGTGAGCTTCTGCTGATGATACTTATATTTAACTCAAGGATCATTTAAAACACGGGGTTTGGCCATAAACTAGAGCCACCTTTTGCATGTCCAATTGAATTCCTGTCACTCACACCTTCACTAACCCCAACCCTGGCTGTGAATGAATGAAAATGCTGAAGAAGAGGATTCTGTTTCTGAGTGACGCTGGTTGGAGGCGTTTAACTGCCAGGAGATGACACTGTCATAGTCTGGAAGTACGGTTTGTGTTTTTATTGCTCCGTGTTGGCACGCTGCTGTTGGCCTTTTGCCTACATCATTATCTCCTAAAGGTCTGGCACTGATGTTCAGGAGATATCCAGATAAGCGTCAGACTGCTGGTCCTGATATGACTGACCTGTTGGAAAGACTAATGACAGCTGCTCTTAGAAAACGCAGCGACGAGAGAAAAATGTCATTCCTCAAATAGTTTGGAGTCATCAGTCAGAACAAGCGGAGCATGACCCCAACCCTCACCCTTTGTCTTAGCTGCGGGTAACAACAGCACCCCCCACCACCAGCACACTCATAGGTTTTCTGGTATTTACCAGGTCGTTCCTGAGCCTTGGAAAACCCTCCACCATCCGTATTGTCCTGTTAATCTTAGAGATGCTGACATTAAAATACCCTGAGAGTTGCACCATCTGTTGCAGAGCTGCTTCTACCTTTTCCTGCCAAAAGTAGTCATTTAACATTTTGGCTAAAGGTTTAGTTGAGTGTCGTGTTGCATCATCGGCGTCTAAGCTGGAACATATTCAGATATGTCAGAATTACAGTGGGAATCACCCGGGATCTGGAGCTTCAGTAATCCGTATAGGTGACTCAGACGTTGCTGTTTTCATCCTAATTATCGTTCTGGTGATTCTCCTTTCACTCTGGTTCCTCTCACGCTTGTGTCCGTCTCTGGATTCCAGGTTTTTAGGCTCCAAACTCTTCTGAAAAGGCGTCGGTCCGTAGCTGTCACCTACTTCCTGTTTTCTGTCTTACTTCCTCCCGTGCGTGAACACATTTAAAGCAGTGACCAATTTTTCCATGGAAACATTTCCCTGGAGGAAAGAAAATTCCATGTTGGCTGTTTATTTTTAAAGAATCTGAGCGGTACCAACTTTCTGCATCACCCTGGAGAGACGGGATAAGCCTTTTCTCCACACTCACTCCTTCACTGTCAGTTTTTTTTTCTCCTGTCTTCAGTCACACAAAGCTGAGCCGGTCCATTTGAATTCAGTCCTCGGATAGACCCAAAGCTCCCAACTGAAGGGGGAAAACTGTCTGATCACTAAAAACCTTTTTTTATTATTATTATTATTACTTTTTAATCAACTTAGTTGGTAAGACAGCTGCAGCTGGAGTTATTGTTATCACGTTCTGATCGTTGTTATCCTAGCGGTATTGTTACAGACGTGCTCGGAGGTAGATGAACAGGTTCCCATGGCTTTTACCCAGGATTCCCAGGGTTCTGGAACTTTATCCCTGTGTAGCCAGCCCAACCTCTTCCACGGTTTTAGGTTCTAGGTTTACTGAGAAAGGGATCTTTCAGCAAACCCATGCTCACACTTTGTTTTTTATGACCGCTGCTGTGTGAGCTGGAGCATCTCCGTGTGTCTGTAGCTAAGCTATTAGCCACCGGTGTCTCCGTTTCAGGGTATTTTAAGTTTAATCACATGTCGCACTTTAATTAAACACCCTGTTGTCAACAAGGTCATTGATATGATTGTGTTCAGACATAAAGGAGGCTTATCTGGTCTTTGATAGTGGCTGTCAACAGGCCCGACTGGCTTTGGCGGCGCTGCATGATTTTAAACCAAAAGGCCTGAAAAGAATAAAGGGTTCTTTGCTCTGCTTTAGGACTAAAAGAATACCATTGTTTAGTTACTAATGTTGCTATGAGATGCTTGAGAGCAGATTCTGGAGTCCTGTAGGTTGGCTAAGGCGTGCTCTGACGCTTATCAGACAGAACCCACAGTAGCTCTGTGTTATCGGACTAGATGCTTAATGACCTGAGCAGCTTTTTATGGAGTTCAGGCTTCAAATCATTACTCACGTCATTTTAAGATGCTTTATAAATCTACTGGTCTACATACTGCAAAACTGATAGGCTAATGGCTAGTACAAAGATAGAACGGCTCCAATTGACCTCTTTTTATTTTATTTTTTGCACTTTTGAGAAAGTAGTTTTCTAAACCTTTACTTTTTCGCCTGTTATTTTTGTAGACTTAAACAATCCCTGTTGGACTCCACCTCTTTTATTTATGATGGTAAATAACAGTAAAATGAAGGCAGTTATAGAATAACGTATGAACTATAAAGAAAATTAAGAGATTTAATAGACTTTCTGGGGCTAGCCGTTAGCTCATCAATCTGAACAGAAGCCATTCAGGAAGCTGTCCCTTGATGTCCCTTTAAGCTATCTTAGTTTCCTGAATTTAGTCTAATTTTTGTCCAGTTTATAGAAATATTTTAAAACATAGCGTCTTTATTTTTTTTAGCATAACATCAGTGCTGTAAACGCTTTGGAAAAGGGCGTTTGTAGCTGTTGCTGCTATAGTTCAGGAGGGTTTATTCTCTGTTTTAGATCCATCTTATTTAAAAAGGTTCTTGCAGAGAATCAGTCGGTGTTAATCAGTCGGAAAAGTGAGAATGCAGAGCAGCTATTCTTTATTAATGCTAAACTAGCTTCTGTCCAGGCGTTATGCTAATGTGTTTCAGTCTGAAGTTCCTAATCCTGCCTTCATTTCTTTGGAAGTTGGATTTTGGATTTGGGAATGACGTCACATCTAAAGTAACTGTGTTCCAGATGAAAGCTGGATTATTTTGCTTTAGCATTATGAGATAAGAAACAGAGACACAAAACTTCTATTTTCCATCTGTACCTGACATTCTGTGATTGTTCCCACTTTGATGCACTTTGAATTTAAATGACCTTGATCTGCCTGTCTGCAGGTTATGCTGCCCAAAAGCTGTCTGAGTCCCAGTGAGAAAGAGAAGGGCTAAAGCCGCACCGGTCCACACCAGCTTCCCAGGGCTCTGACCAACAGTGACTCCACTGCAGAGCCATGAGCACCCCCGGCACGCCCACCCAGATTACAAACGCTGTTGCATCGGTCGTTCACAGTGTAAGTTTACACGGCCACATGTGGAGAAGCTCCAGGGCGTCCGAGTCAGACCCGTTAGCCGTATCTTAGTAGGAAAACGAAGCAGCTCACCTGCTGCTCACTTAGCTGCTTGTGGTCTTGTTATGCCTGTCGCTTCAAATGTTTCCCTAGTTTCACTTCTGCCTCGCCGTGTGCAAGATTTATGCTGCAGTGGCTTTTTTTCAATGCCTTCTGGCATCAAAATTGGTGTTTTAGAGATTTTTCTTTCCTTTTCTTCTGCAAATAATTTAAATATAAAAGGTATGATGTTCAGATGCATGAAGAAATGCCTTTTCTGAAATGTTTCTCTTATTTTGCTTTAAGGCAAACTCTTCTAAAGTGATAAAAGTTATTGCAAAGGTGGTAAATATGTTAAAGAGTCACGAGAGCAGCTGGTCTGCAGCCAAAGAAAGCAGCACCTCTGCTTTAGAGGCTCTCTAGTGAACTCATCATGATCGAGTTTGTGCTTCAGCATAAATCAGCTACTTAAGGTCAAATCCACACCTGATACTCTCATATTGGTGGATCTCATCATCTGGTGATGGTTAGACAATCTCAGAACATCTTGTGTTCTGGATTATTCCAGGAATTGGGTTCTATTAAGTTTAGGATTTCCCAGAAAGGCATAACCACGATTCTGATATTTGGTTTAAATGAAAATGGGTAAAAATGCTGACGTTGAGCACAGTCAGATTTTAAGGGATTACTTTTTGTTCACCACTCAAAAAACTAATTTTTGACTGCTTCCAGTTGGTTTTTGTTGAATTGTTGACCAAAAAAATCTGAATCTGTTGTTTTATTTCCTGCAGAACCAGTTTAGGGAATTACTGCTTTTTCACAGCTTTGTCTGCTGATAAAAAGTTCTTTCTAAGAAGAACTAGTTTATACCGATACTAAAAGAAACAGTAAAAGTTCAGATCTGATGGAGATGACCCTCTGTGTGACCTTCATGTGCAGTTTTAAATGACAGAAGAAGACTTTCTGTTCAGCTGGAGGTTTTTATAAAAGTAAAGAATAACAAACACACAGGCTGGTGTTTCTTTGTTCCTGGGAGGAATTGTGCTTTGATAAAATGAAACATTTAATCTTAGAGAATTGGTTTCATTGTTAAAGTATCCTGAAACATTTCTGTCTTTCCTGCTTGGTGATGAAGACTAGAGCCTGTTAAGACCCTGGACCAGACTCAGAACAGCTCCTGATCAAGACACTGTGGAGATAAAAACGTTTGCTCCGTGACTCCGTCAGCTGTTATTGGCTGTCGTCTTGGCAGCATCTCCTCAGAGTTAATAATTATCCTTTTAAACGGTGTGAGTTTGTGTAAATGTGTGCTCAGGGAGCGTTCACATCTCCCGATTTGGATTTTCAGCCATTTTGAACCTCTGAGTAACGTCTTCTTCCCGATCTGAGGATCACGTGGCGACAGCTAACTGGAATATGAAACAGCACTTCTAGTTTTAGCTTTAAGTCTTTGTGTTTTTTGGGCTGAGGTAACACACCTGCCTCTAGGTTGATGGACTTCCTGTTTACTTTCCAGGTGAGTTTGTTCGTTTTGACTTAGGTTAACACACATCCATCATTCCAAAGCGTGCACATGTAGTCTTTTCAGAGCCTAAACATCTCATGACTTGAGTTTTCCAGTTGAATTTAACCACAACAGCTGGTTAATCTTTACTTTGGTTCATGTGCTGCCTTAAAGCACTTAGACTTCGTCATCTCTTTTTCCTCTGCCGTTTTAAATCCGAGGTAATAATTACTTCCTAATGCTATTCTAATATGTCACTAGTTACAGATAATCCCTCTTTCTACAGTTGGCACGTGGATTTCTTCACTCATCAACTCAGATCTTTCATTATGTTTTCTGTTTAAAGGTATAAAGTATCAACTTTATAGGTTTGACATAAAATGACATGAACACTCATTATAGTTGGTTGCCATTTAATTATCTTCACAAGAGTTTTAGTGTAACTGCATGTCCTAAAACCTGCTAAAAGACCCGGGTGTAAAGGGAGGACTGCATTTCTGTGGTTCCAAGTCCTGAAAAAACATCTTCACCGTTTTAAGTGCGAACCCAAAATCAATGAATGTGACGTGTTTTTCTGACTTTTTTGAATGGAAGTGACTCGTGAGTTAAAGAGACAATGTGTAGTTTTTACCATTAATCTCTGAAAATATCCATCGAAATGTTGAAAATGAATTAAATGATGCCTAGCTGTTGAAAATTTTTGGCGGTCTCATAACATATAACCATAAAAATTGTGTCTAAAATGCGTCTGAGCAGGCCCAAGGGTGTTTCACAATGTCAAGGTGCCTGGCTTTGCAAGGCGATGTCTTGCGAGGCCAGGCACCTTGGACACGAGGACACTGTCCTTCCTTGGTCAAAGAAAACGGTTAAATGAAACAAACTTGCATCACGTGACCTCGGCTTCCACGGCGGTCACGAAACGTCATGTGACACGGGAGATAAGGTTATATTTTATACGTATTCGTTTTAACATAAATATATAATGAGCCTTTTACTTTTTAAATTGTGTATACCGGTATGTTTATTAAATTAAATATGTAAGTGAGTTACTACCCACTAGCCTCCAAAGCTGCAACTACTAAGCAACTAACCAACCATAGATAACTTCTTTAGATCTAAAACAAAAACATTTTAAATTAATTGACTTACTTTTAAACTTGAAATTTGACCCCAAGGTAGCTGCCAGCTTCTTATCCGCCATACTTTTGAAAATACAGCGGTGTATTCTGGGAAACTTTTGACCAAGACTAGGCTACAAGACACCTCCCGGCTAACAAACAGAGAACAGACGCCTTGGTAGAACATGAACATTGGAACACGTCTTGGCGATTCCTGATGACGTATCTCCTAAGCAACCGGGGTGGGGCCAAGACATCAAGGCGAGGTTCCTTTGCATTGAGAAACACCCCAAGTCTCTGGGCAATGCCTTGTTTCCTTCTACGGGAGGCCGTGAGGACAAAATGCATTTACTGATTTGTAACAAATGGTTACAAACGTTCAGCATTCATAAACATTGTTTTAAACATTTACCTCTTCATTGCCAGTGATGAAAGGGAGTCTGATGTTTGTGTCACTATGCTGAAGGTTGTGTCCCAGGGATTTTTGACTCTAATGGCCATCCGTGACGAGGTCTTACTCTAACACAAAAATACTGCTTGCTTGCAACGATTTAGGTATGTACTGCCCCCTATCACCAGAGAAAATACACACAATCACTTAGGCCTAGTCCACACGTAGCCGTTTTTTTTTTAACGAATATCTGCCCCTCCAAAAACTTGCATCCACACCACCTCGTTTAAAAAAAACTCTGCCCACACGTACCCGGATAAATTCATTGTTAAGGACATGCCAGACCTGTAGGCGGCAGTACTTCCCCCGTTCTTAACCTCGTCCTTCATCTGTGGTCTTCTGCAAGGAGCAGAAATTCCGCTTGCAAAAACAAACAAGCAAAAAGCGCTTGGACAATTGATAAAGCGAGCGCAGCTCTGAGGGCATCCATGCTGTCGGCTAGTGTAAACACAGGTCGCACACGTGATGTCAGCATTTTTTTGTCACGGAAAGTGACATTGCGGACCTTAAAACTCCAGTTTTGTCTGTCCACATGCAGACACCCAAAACGGAGAAAACGCAGATCTTCACTTTGGCCGGAGTTTTTAAAAAGATCCGTTTTCGTGTGAATGACAGGCCAAAACGTAGAAAAATATCTACGTTTTGGCAGATCCCCGGCTACATGTGGACAGGGCCTTTGTCTCTTTAAGTATTTCTCTTATGCGATGGCACCATCTAGTGGCTGACAAGCATACCACACAAATAATTATTCCTTCAATTTTTTTAAGATGGTGACTTCATGTTTCTTGTTTATTTATGTGCTTCTGTAGCTGACAAGCAGAGCTAAAACACGTTGTTTTACAAGTGTTATTGTCATGTCATGTTGTGTTCTCATATATTTATATTTTAGAGTCTTACTTGTCCATGAAAAGTTAATCAACTCTGCATCAGCTGAGGTATTCCTTAAATTTGAAGTGAGTAAGTGGTAGTCTAACGCTATTGGTTAGTTCTAGTTGGCTCTCAGAGCTCTGCTGGGCAGGGTGCGTGCTTAGCAAAAAAATAAATAAATAAAACTTATTGCTTAAATTATATCACAGTATATGGTAAGGTTATCACTTTTACAGATTTCTGAAAAATCATACATAATTACTGAAAGGGGAAAAAGCCGGAAAGATACTTTAAATCTAACTTTAGCTGCTATAATTTACAGGTGCTTTTCATAAAATCAGAATATCATGAAAAGTTTGATTTATTTCAATAATTCCCTTCAAAAGTGAAACTTGTATTCATTATTACACAGAGATTGATATATTTCAAATGTTTATTTCATTTTGTTAATGATTATAACTGATAACTAACAAAAATCCCAAATTCAGTATATCAGAATATTAGAATATAAATTTAAACCAATGCAAACAACTTATTTTAGAAATATTGGACAGCTGAAAAGTATGAACATTAAAAGTATGGGCATGTACAGCGCTCATTATTTAGCTGGGGCTGCTTTGGTCTGGATTACTGCAGCAATGTGGCGTGGCATGGAAGCCATCAGTCTGTGGCACTGCTCAGGTGTTATGAGAGCCCATGTTGCTCTGATCGTGGCCTTTAGCTCTTCTGATTTGTTGGGTCTGGCGTATTGCATCTTACTCTTCACAATACCCCATAGATTTTCTATGAGGTTAAGGTCAGGCGAGTTTGCTGGCCAATCAAGAGCAAGGATACCATGGTCTATTGACCAGGTACTGGTAGCTTTGGTACTGTGTGCAGGTGCCAACTCCTGTTGGAAAATGAAATATGCATCTCCATAAAGTCGGTCAGCATCAGGAAGCATGAAGTGCTCTAAAACTTCCTGGTAGACGGCTGTGTTGATGTTGGACCTCAGAAAACACAATGGACCAACATAGCAGATCACGACACCCCAAACCATCACCGACAGAAAACTTTACACTGAACCTCAAGCAATGTGGGTTCTGTGCCTCTCCTCTCTTCCTCCAGACTCTGGGGCCTTAATTTCCAAAGGAAATGCAAAATTTACTTTAATCAGAGAACTTAACTTTGGACCACTCACCAGCAGTCCTGTCCATTTTGTCTTTAGCCCTGGAGAGACGCTTCTGATGCTGTCTTGTTCAGGAGTGGCTTGACACAAGGAATGCAACAGATGAAACCATGTCTTGCACACGTCTGTGCGTGATGGTTCTTGAAGCACTGACTCCAGCTGCAGTCCACTCTGTGAATCTCCTCCACATTTTTGAATGGGTTTTGTTGCCCTTCTTGTGAAAGGTGTCAATGATTGTCTTTTGGACAACTGTCAAGTCAGCAGTCTTCCCCATGATTGTGTTGCCTACAGAACTAGACTGAGAGACAATTTAAAGGCTGGTGCAGGGGTTTTGAGTTAATTAGCTGATTGGAGTTTGGCACCAGGGGTCTTCACCATTGAACCTTTTCACAATATTCTAATATTCTGAGATACTAAATTTGAGATTTTAGTTGTTAATTATTTTGGGATTTTCATTAGTTGTTAATTATAATCATCAAAATGAAAGAAATAAACATTTGAAATATATCAGTTTGTGTGTTATGAATGAATATAATGTACAAGTTTCACTTTTTGAACTGAATCACTGAAATAAATCTACTTTTCATGATATTCTAATTATATGACCAGCATGTGTAAAAATCAGTGTAATAAATGATGCAACCAGGAGGTCATGAATAATCTGCTCTTCCATAAGACAAATGTAAAGATTGCCTGAAGTTAAAAATAGATTACCGCTCGTTTTCTTTGCAGCATCGTGTTCAGACTTGCGGAGACACTTCAGCCTCATGGATGGCAACTATAAGCTCCTCTCAGCCAATCAGCACTCAATTTCCTTTAAATGCTGACTCTATGGGATTTGAGACCAGTGATGATGCAGCTAAGCTGCTGCTGCTTCACATTATCTTTTCTTGGATGAGAACATTTCCTACAAATTAGAGATTAAATAAACTTGTTTTTGGTGAGTTAGAAGTTTTTTATGCATTATTGATCATGCATAAAAAAGTTCTACCTGCCCCCTACCAGTGCACGCTGCACCTGAACTTCCTAAAGAATGAATGAAATTGTTTTTACTTTCATAACTTCTTACTTTTCCTTTAAATTTCTGTTGATCAGTAACTTGACACACTGAGTCTAGTAAGATGATGTTGGATATTACAGCTGTTCTCCCTTTGGTGTTTAAGGTTAAACACTTGATTTCTGTTTTAATTGTCAACAGAGTATTACCCAGAACATCTTCATGATCTGGTTGGTTCTGTTTTGACTTTTCCTCCCAGATCTTGTTTCTGGAAAAATGTTCTCACCTCCTCGACAATCCCTCACGAGCCTCTAAACTCTAGAAAACACATGTCATATAGAAATGAGGGCTATGTTTGGCAGCGGTCTGAGCATTTCACACATCCCGTGAAAGATTTTAAACCTGGATGCA